GATTGAACAGTTAGAGGCCTGTATTAGACATGAATGGGAGAGCATTCCTATTTCTAAACTTGAGAAACTGGTCTCCTCTGTCCCCAGACGTCTGTTGAGTGTTGTAAGAAGAAGGGGGGATGCCACACAGTGGTAAAAATGGACTTAAACCAACTTTTTTGCGATTTGTTGACGCCATGAAATTTGGAAACAACAGTTTTTTTCCCTTAAAATTATAAATTCTCTCAGTTTAAACTTTTGATCTGTGATTTGTGTTCTATTCTGAATAAAATATTAGATGTTGGCACCTCCCCATCATTGCATTCAGTTTTTATTCACAATTTGTTTAGTGTCCCAACTTTTTTGGAATCCGGTTTGTATATATAAAATCTTAAATAAAAATTATTTGATCGTATTAGTAAGTATATATATAAGTAAGGAAGTAACTCATGCACACTATGCATAGATGAGTCTTATGAGAAAATGTCACATTCCTCAAGTGAAGCCACTCCTGAACCAGAGACAACATCAGAAGCGTCTTACCTGGCCAAGGAGAAGAACAACTAGACTCAGTGGTCCAATGTCATCTTTTCAGATGAAAGTAAATTCTGTTTGTCATTTGGAAATTAAGGTCCCAGAGTCTGGAGGAAGTGGAGAGGTTCAGAATCCACGTTGCTTGAAGTCCAGAGTGAAGTTTCCACAGTTAGTGATGATTCGTCTGTGATGCTACGCATAGTGTGCACGAGTTTCCTGTATGGAACTTTATCACAATACTCTTATTTTCTGAGACACTGATTTTGGGGGTTTTATTATCAATAAGCCATAATCATTAAAATTACACAAAAAGGCTTGAAATATTTCGCTCTATGAATCTATGAATTTCACTTTGTGAAGTGACTGACAAAAAAAATACTTTACTTTTTCCACAGTATTCAAATTTTGTTTAGATGTACCTGTAGATGAAACCAAGACATAACAACTAGCTTGGTTTTATTAAACTGTGAAACAAATAGCCCAACTGTCTGACTGTAAATTGTCAAAACACCTGTCATCTATAAAATGTATAAAAAGTAAAACATACCTGTTTCCTAAGGCAAATTAAATGACAAAAATACACAGTTTTCTTCAAGTTAGAAAAAAAAAAACATTGCAGGTTTTTCTTACACATTGACTCCATTGCAGATGCAGAGGAGATTAAACCATGCCCTCGCTGCGGCGCCTACATCATGAAGACCAACGATGGCAGCTGTAACCGTATGAACTGCACTGTGTGTGCCTGTCAGTTCTGCTGGCTGTGTATGCAGGAGATTACAGACGTGCACTACCTCAGGTATCATGTTCACACTCAGCTCACTACATCCGCAGAAATAATCAGATGTAACAGACCAATTAATGTAAGCTTTATAGCGGTGGTGTATTCTACATTTTTGTAGTGGGTATTCCGCGGTTAGTCTTACGTTCGGCGTTGGACACCATTGAAGCCACGGATCGCGATGTCCAACATCCAACGTAAAACTAACTTTACTGCGGTTGGTCCATATACTGTGCTTAGAAACCAAAGTAAACTGGTTAGTACAATGTAATTGTCAATTTATTTTGATTTTTAAACATATTGAACATTTCCAATTTTCTCTGATGCTTATATGTGAATAAATGAACAACAATATTTGTACAACAGTTGGCTTTGTATTAAAAACACGTTATATAATTTATAAAATAGTATCAAAGCAAAACGTGTTCAAGTATTAAATATTAAGTACATAAGTATTAATTATACAATAATTCGCTGGATAAGCAAATGTAATAAACAAGTATACCAATAGATTGTTACGGAAGTGTTGAATTGCCATTTACCGTATGAATGACACATGCCTAATGATATGTAACGTATCATTGGGCACTTTTAAGTGGTTATACTGAAATTCTCAAGATTTTCTAGTGGGTATACTCCGTATAACCGCATATCACGTAGACTACACCACTACTGCAATAAATGTTCACTGCAATGATGAATGCTACACATAAGTCTAAAGCTATATAATTTCCACACTGCTGATAGCAGCAACTTACATAGAAATCCTCTCATGATGACATTTATTTCACACATAAGAGCCTTGCAGTTCTACTAAAAAGCATGCACAAGCTATTTCTTAAGAATACTCAGCCAGTAAATAAAAGGTAACACTGTAGGTGTAAAGCCTTTCATATTCAGCACATCAGTCAACATAGACAATGTTAAAATATCACCAACTTGGAAGCAGGGCTTAATTTGTGAACCTATGAATGCCGGAATGCAAATAGTGGGCGGGCCGGGGTGGATGGGGGTCCTCCCCCAGAAAATTTTGAATAAAGTAGTTGCGATTTCCTGCATTTTGCTGTATTTTAATTTGTTGTTAAACGTCTACGTTTATCTACATTTGTAAACACTCATCTTCAAGCATCCTATCCCTCTCCTTCTTACTGGGCGGTTCCAAGCCCGACTCTTCTCTGGTGAATTCACTTTCCTGCTTGTCAGAACTCACCCCCACCACCTGCTCGCTCCTGCTCCAGTCTCGATTGCTGCTGCCTTAAGGTGCTTCAATTCTCTGTTGTCCAGCTAAGGACAATAAGAAGACTTTTTAAAATAAAAAGTAAATTGGACTGTCTTTTCGACATTTTGATCACTTTTGTTGTGACAAATTAGTGCCGTTGTTTTGATACATAATATTTGTACGCATCAAACATTTCTCTCGTATTTTGAATAAAACAATAAAATTGTATTAATGACCCACTTAAACTGCCAAACTGAGTTGCAATTTAGTTGTGCTGTTTAATTATATTTTTGAGTTTTTTTAATTCAATTGCCCATGACTGTACTTTTATGGGCAGAGATTTTTTTTAAGTGTAAAAGTGGAAATGCAACTTGACGAGGCAGCTCTTATGTGATTTTAAGAAGCTCGTAAGTGGCTGTGTTTAAAATTATTGTTTATGTAATTGTTTTTCAGTTAAGTTTTAATCATTCAAAGCAGTCATATTTGTTCATAACTATATTATTAGTAAGCCTGAGCGTTACCGGATCCAAGAAAACAGTTGCGCCCTGTCAAAATAAGAGAGTTCCCGGATCTCGTTCCAGCAGGATCCGGCTCAAATTAAGCCCTGCTTGGAAGTAATTCATGTTTATTATTGCTTACAAGAACCATTATTTAATTATGCCTTTAATTATTCAACAATGGAGGTTAACTGTGACAATTTTGAGTTTTATTCTTGTTAAAAGCAGTTTGCTCATCTGTTTGGTCATCCATGCAGTGGACACTAACTCATCATTTCATTATGTTATATTTGGCATATAGCAACCTACATCCCTGTTCTTTAAGAAAAATAGCAAAAAATAGACTTATTTATTCATTATGACACATATCCACTGTCTTTCTGTCCATCTTAGATGGTCTTATGCCCAGAAAGCATACTCTACAAAGGGTTGATTGATAGTTTTCACAATTTCAAAAACACTTTCAGGTTCATACCAATGAACAAACTGCATTTTTGTGTTTTTGTTGCATTTTCTAGAAAATATTCTCTACATTTAGTTTATATTACAGAAGCATTGAACAATGAGTGAATCAATTCGCCACCTTTTGGTATAGTTTGTCAGGATCAGTTATCTTCAGATAGTACTTCCACTGTCACTGTTACTTGTAGAGTTTGCTTTACCCAATAAAATCTGTAAACTCTTAGTCAATGAGAGTTATACATTGGATCTGTCAGTAAGGTGTGATCATATATCTACACATATAAGATACATTTATTCAAACCAATTTCTTTTTCATAGATTTTTAACGTGGGAGTCATTAATTTGTGATGAGCTGCTCTGTTTGTATCTCTATGTTTCTGGTGTGTCTGAATCAACTTTAGGGTTACAGAGGAATGATGAGAGTATGATGTATGAATTTTTGAAAAAGGTTTTAGCTGTTAAAAAAAAACAAAACTGTAATTTGTGTTTGTGTTTACTCCTGTGCAGAAATAGCGATCGCTCCCCTCTCCCCTGATCTTCCTCTTCTCCTCTCCCATCGTCTTTTGTCTGTCTTTCTTACTGCAAATGACAGCGAGCGCTCGACAAAAGGGCAAAGCTTTTAGCATCGTACAGCAAAATTTGCAGGTCCAGAGCAACAGAGCACTTTCACAATACCTCATTATATTTTCCTCCCACTAGGTTATTCGAAGTGATGAAGTGACATTTGCTGTTGGAAAACAACAGCGTTCTCTCAGAAACTGCGTTGCCCTTCGGTGTTCTCTGTGCTCCTACGAGCTAAGCGTGGGTTTAGTAAGACAAACAGCAGGAGGCAGTTAAACTGTTCTCCACAGCAGTCTGAATTACTCGGCCAAAAATGGACTCCCATTTTTTGTTTTTTTCCAACATTTAGGGCAACGTTGGTGTTGACTCTTTTTAAACCAATACTGGTTGGCTGTAAACTAAGTTGTCCCTAGGTAAGAGGATAAATACAGTATTTCTTTGGCTCGTTTCCTTCTATGTGGCTCTGTACCTGTTCAACTGCTGGAGATAGGCACCAGCTCCTGCACAACCCAGAAAGGAAAAAGCGGCTAAAAAAAAAAGAACGCATAGATGGATGGTTTGGCTGTATTTCTGAATAAAGTCAAACCCCAAAACTGATGGGAATTCACTTGCTGTTCACTTATTTAGTCATAAACTAAACTATATATACACAATTGTTTATACATATACTGGCACTACTCACTGAAACAGTGAATAGGTCATTGATGTTAGTTTTATTTTCTTGAGGATATCAAGATACTATCATTGCCACTGATAAGAAACAGCAGTAATATAATAACTAAAAATACACTTGAACTCCTAACTTATCAAAGCAGTTGTGTCTGTTGTGTCTTTCAGTCCCTCAGGATGCACATTTTGGGGGAAGAAGCCTTGGTCTCAAACCCGCAAAGTACTGTGGCAGGTGGGCATGTTACTTGGAGCCCCTGTGGTCATCTCCCTCATAGCGGGCATTGCCATTCCAGTTATCATAGTGGGCATACCAATCTACATGGGCCGTAAGGTCAGTGAGAGCAACAACAGTCATTACATCTCATGTCGTAACATGTTATTTATTAGAAAACCAGCTGTATGAGCTTATCCCATTGCGGAGCCAAAAAAAAAAAGGGGGGAACAGGAGATACAGTCCATCAGTTTGTTTGTCTGTGTGCCTATCCATGCAAGTCGTGAGTGCAATATTTTGAAAAGTAAGGGATGTACCAACTTCCAATTCGGTGTGTTGCTGCATCTAGGTGTAAGAAATGTTCCTTTTGAAAATTGGGTTGGCAGCTTAAAAAAGTTACACTGTAACTGAACATAGAAGTTCTAAAATGATTAAAAATAACTTTTAACATTTTGATATTTTGTGTTCATGACGATTTTACCACGTGACATACTTTGAATTTTAAGTTGGAAGACAAAAGTCGATAGGTGCATCTGGACAGCAAAGGGTTAACTCTTCGCCAAGCCGCTGCAGCACGAGTGAGAAATGTGGCAGAGAGGAGATCCTAACAGAGGGAGCTCCTCCCTGCACCTAATGATTTAGCAGGCGCTAAATCATTTAAAATAATTTATTTAAATAATCAATCCATGGCTCATCCATCAATCAGCCAATTGTGTCATGTCCAATCGTATTTTGAAAAAACCACGAAAGAGCAAGTCCGCGAAAGTCGAACTGCGAAGTAGCGACGGTCTACTCTACACACAGTACATATGTGTGTATGTGTGTACACCTTTATCATTTGAGGAAGCTATGCTTTCTCTTAAAAGTATAGTTTCCTCAAATGATTGCGATGGCCGAAGATTCATCCACGGTGGTCAAGGCCACCTCTGGCAACCTCCTGGCTCCAATATTGCACCTGGCGGTAGATCAAATTTCTCCCTCTGCTCACCAGGATCTGTCACTCAGACAAGAAAACAACCTTCCTCTGTTCTCCGCAGTGTAACATCTACCCACTTGAATATCTTGCATCAAAAACATTATGGTTTACTTGCATTCTCTGTTCAATTCCAGTCAGAGAAACTCATCTAGAAAACTAAACCATTCACTATTCAAATCCTCCTGCAACAGAGGACATCGGAGCCCCGCTTGTATTACCGATATATTAAAACAGCTAACTTTAAATGTATTTTGTACATTTTACTTCTAGGTAGTGTCTGTCTAAAAATATAATGTGCTTATACTTGTAAGCTGGGAGTGAAATGATTTTAGCACCTAACAGATATTAATTAAACTGTGGATGAAGTAATCTTGGTCAAACTAACTTGCATTTGTAATTAAAGGTGTTTATAGATTTGGTTTTTGTGCTAGCGTCACATATTGGTTTCACAGTTTGCCTACTTTTCCCTCCTGTTTGCATAAATGCATTCATGGAGGTGGATAAGTGATTGCACAGATGGAGAACAACAAGAAGGAACAAATTAAATTTCCATGAGGTAATTTGTTTCCCATTTATTGCCTTCCAGGTCCACGGTCGCTGTAAGAAAAATAGCATCTCAGGAAGTAAGCACTACTTGACTGTGGCGAGCGGGGTGATGATGTCAGTGTTTGTGTCGCCGGTCATAGCAGCTGTCACTGTTGGTAAGAAGGAGAATCATCTTGAAGTGTTTTCATCTGAGCATTTATGTTTAGTGCTATAAATAACCATTAAAATATAAAGCTAGTGACTTTTAGCGACTTGTCTGTGCCATTATCGTAAATAAAGATGGTCTGTACCATTCAAAGACTTGAAAATGTAACATTCTTGCAAGTTGTAGCTATACATTTGCTACTTAACACTGACATTTTTTATTAAAAAATAGCCTTTTTCTTAGCATACTTGAGCCAGTTTCCTTGAGTTTTAGCCACGTAGCTTGATATTTGGTCATTTGTAAAATGTGAAACAGCCTAAATTTTTTTGGTAAACTATTATTAGTTATTACTACAAACAAAAGTAGCAAACCTAATAAAATTGCAACACTAAACAATAAGTTTTTGTTGTTTTCATTGAGTGATAGCGCAAAAATTTGCTTTTAGCTAATCTTAGCAATATAGCAGCTTCACCTTCTGACGGAGAACTGTGTGGGGTTCTGGTAAATGTCAAGATGTTCAGTAAAGCTTTTGAGGCAAAAGTTGGTGGGAAATCGAACATGTAAAAACTTTAGAATGCCCCCCTCCTTTTATAAAATCTGTAATTAAAATAAGTGTTTTTTTTACTGTATAGGCTACCAGTGTTGTATTGCATTTTGGGTTTGGCAGTTTGTAGAGACAGTGATAATAATCATTTCATGTAACTTCTGGCAAAAAATAATTAAATATATTAAAAAAATAATAATTCACATGCCGAAAAAATCTGAAACTGCTGACTGTATGCAGCTCTTAGGAAATAGTTTTTTTTTAAACGATCAAAATTTTTCCTCTTTACTTTTCTCTGTTTAATCACTTGTATGTCTTTACAACACGTATTCCAGAATGTTGTTTATTCATGCTTGTTTTTGTTTGTTTGTTTGTTGTTTTGCCCCATGGGTTCAGTTCAGTCAGCTGTATCACTCACATTCAACCTCAGTGTACCAGTACTTCATCTCAAAGTCTATTTTATGTACAAGTACAAACCAAAAAATTAGAACATCATGAAAGAATTCAATATTTTTTGTCAATCATTTCAGAAAGTGCAACTCATATTACATAATTTATTGCACAGTGTGAAATATTTCAAGCCTTTCTTGTAATTTTGATGATTATGGCTTTACAGATAATGAAAAAAATCAACAAAAAAAAAAAATCAGTGTATCAGAAAATTAGAATATTGTGATAAAGTTCTAATTTGGAAACATGCACACTATGCACAAACGACATGACAAAATGTCTCATTCCTCATGTTGAGCCACTCCTGAATAGAGTCAATGTCAGAAGCGTCTTACCTGCTGAGGACAAAAAGAGCTGGACTGTAGTCAATGGTCCAATGTCCTCTTTTCAGATTAAAGTAAATGTTCATGTCATTTGGAAAACGAGGTCCCAGAGTCTGGAAGAAGAGGAGAGGCCCAGAATCCATGTTGCTTGATGTCCAGAGTGAAGTTTCCACAGTGAGTCATAATTTGGGGACATGTCACCTGCTGGTGTTGGTCCACTGTGTTTTCTGAAATCCTCAGCAGGTAAGACGCTTCTGAAGTTGTCTCTGGTTCAGGAGTGGTGTAACTTGAGGAACGCGACATTTGGGGATTCGTCTGCGCATAGTGTGCACGAGTTTTTACTATGGAACTTTATATTCTACATTTCTGAGACACTGAATTTTATCATTATCTGTAAGCCATAATCAACAAAATTACAAGAAATGAAGGCTTGAAATATTTTACTCTGTGTCATGAGTAAAAATATAAAATATACGAGTTTCACTTTCTGAAATGATTGACAGAAAATACTGAACTTTTTCACAATGTTCCAATTTTTTTACATGTACATGTAAATTTGTCTGTCTCTGAACCTTCATTTATCTCATTACATTTCTGTTTTGCACCTAATGCTCAACATCTAATCTTGTTTTCTTTCATAATTCAGGCACAATTGCTTCATTGTTTTGCTCTTTTTTTTTTTTTTTTTTTTCAAAGACGCTCACACACACAGTGTAACAAATCTGCTCATCCCTGTGTGTGAGGCCATTCGGCTGGCTGGGTCGTTCTCCTGCCCCGATTTCACCCCGTCAATAACAACTCAGTGTTCTGGCTCTGCTAATGATGTCGCTTTGTTTGTTTGGCACTCAGCTTTGTGTTTCCAAATTCCTATCTGAGGACAGCGTTGCATAATTACACAGCACAGCACATGCTGCTTCTGATCATCGTGTTTGAGGGTTTACTGAAAACATCTTTTGAGAAGCTTCTGGAAAAGAAAGGGTGGAAATCAAAATAATTTATGTATTTTGACAAAATTCTTAACTCACAAGGCATTTCCCTTTAATTTACTTATGTTATCACATTTTTTGGATGCTATTACTGCTGCTTGTATTTTCTTACATCCTGTTGGAGATTAATATCCCAAGAAACTTGTTTATTTACTGTTTCAAGTCCTCTTTCTAAAAGCAATAGCTTCATCTTGTGGTCATTTTGTGTTACTGTTATTGTAGCGCATTATGAAAACTGAGCAGGTCATACATTATGTTAAATATTTTAGGGTTTCAACATATTTCCACCACAGAAATTATTGCTTCTCAGTTTTATGAAATACAATAAAAGTCTTAGCTTTTAAAGCTTGAAACCCATCTGCAGTATTCCTGCAGATAATAACTAGACCTTCACAATTTGATGATGTTTGATCTTTGTTGATATGAATCTCCTTTGGTATCAATAAAATATACATTAAGCTATTTATCTGTCAGAAATGTTTACAATAAAGCATGTAAACCTACTAATGTAGAGCTTTTAAACGAAATGATAAACCAAGTATATACCGTATTTTTCGGACTATAAGGCACTCTTAAAATCCTTTAATTTTCTCAAAAATCAGTGTTTGTGTGTTTTATTTTAAAGCCGTGGCACCTTGGGTGAAGATTCTACCAATAGTTATATTCTGTTGTGGTTCTTTCCTTCTACTGTACATTTATTATTAAAGTTTTTGTTCCAAGTTTGACATCCCAAATCTTTTACATGATAAATAAAACTTCTTGTTGTCTTTCAGGTGTTGGTGTGCCGCTAATGCTGACTTATGTCTACGGGGTCGTTCCTATGTCACTCTGTAGGAACGGCTGGTGTCGGTCACAGAACGAGCCCCCTGAAACACACAAAATACAGCTCGAAGACTTGGCCAACTGTGAGTCCAGAACTGAATCACGCTGTGCTTTAGTGCAGTGGTTCTCAAACTTTTTGGGTTCAGGGACCTCTTACAGGAGAGAAAATGTTTCAGGGACCCCCTCATAACCCTCATGTTTATTAAGTAATTTTATTCAATTTGCCTGTTTAATATAATGGAAATATTTGTGTAACATCAATACTTAAGACCTGTTCTTTAATAGTGTTTAAACAATTTTTAAACATGGGGTATTTTTCATTCAAGACACACATAATTAACAAAGTTTTTAATCTGACCTTCCAAAAATTACAGTTTTGAGAAAATTAACAGCATCAAAAACCACTTTAAAACTTTACCTATTCACTTAATGGACAAAAATGTATTGACACTTATTCAAATTATTACAGAAAACTACATAAATTTGAACAGAATCATAACAGACCAAGTAACAGGTCTTAATTTGTAAACCGACTGACGGCGGAACACAAATAGCGGGCCGGCGGGGTGGTCTGGGGAGTCCTTCCCCAGAATTTTTTTAATAAAGTAGATGTGATTTTTGGTGTATTTTAATGGGTTGTTAAACATCTACGCGCTTGAGAAAAACCCAACATATATGTATATATATATATATATATATATATATATATATATATATACAAAAAAAATTGAATATCATGGAAAAGTTGTTTAGCTTCCATAATTCCATCCAAAAAGTTCATCTTTAATGGATGATAGATTCAGGACTCACAATTTAAACGATTTCAAGTTTTTATTTGTTTATTTTACATAATTTGAGCTTCTAGCTCACAAAACCCACTAAAACAGGATTTCAAAAAATTAGAATATTGTGGAGAAATCAGCCCAAATGTTGCAGGGCATGAAAGCTTTAAAAAGAGTGTGACACACTAATCATCTACTAAACTCAAAGCACCTGCACATGTTTCCTCAGGTGTCATTAAATTGCTTCAGTTTGGTTCAATTTTCTCAGTTTGGTTCAGTTTTGGGAAGACTGCAAATATAAGAACTGACCAGAAGACCATCATTGATACCCTCCATAGGATGGGTAAACCACAAAAGGTCATAGCTGAGGAGGCTGGCTGTTCATAGAGTGCTGTGTCCAAGCATATCAATGGAAAGTCTAGTGGAAGGGCAAAATGTGGCAGGAGAAGATGCACCAGCAAAAGAGATGACCATGGGCTTCAGCAGATTATCAAACATAGAAGATTCCAGAATCTGGCAGAGATCCAGAAAGAGTGGATTGAGGCGGGAGTCACAGCTTCAAAAACCACCACATTGCATCTGGGAGATGGGCTACTACTGTTGGGTTCCTTGGTCCTCTTTTCTGATGAAAGTAAAGTGTGCCTTTCATTCGGAAATCAAGGTCCAAGGGTTTGAAGGAAGAAGGGTGAGGAACAGAACCCATCCTGCTTGAGGTCCATTGTGACATATCCACAGTCAGTCATGATTTGTGGTGCAATGTCTGGTGCAGGTATTGGTAAACTCTGCTTTCTTAAATCCAAGGTCACCGCAACAGTCTACCAGAATGTTTTAGAGGACTTCATGATTCCTTCTGCTGAGGATTTGTATGGAGATGCAGATTTCATCTTCAAGCAGGACCTGGCCCCTGCCCGTGCCGCCAGAAGCACCAAAACCTGGTTTGATGCCCATGCCACAGTGCTTGACTGGCCAGCCAACTCACCGGACCTAAACCCCATTGAGAATCTCTGGGGTGTTCTCAAGAGGAACATGAGGGGCACCAGACCCAACAACAAAGAAGAGCTGACAGCAAGCATCAATGAAATCTGGGCTTCCATAACTCCCAGTCAATGCCACAGGCTGATTGCCTCAATGCCACGTCGCATCGAGGCAGAGATTAAGGCAAAGGGATTCCCAAGTATTGAAGATTGACATATTGTTTTGAAAGTACCATATGTTGATTGATTAGTTGTAATCCTATTTTTTTTTTTGCTTCTGCAAAAACTGAGTAGTGTGGGCTGATGCCTTCACAGTATTCTAATTTTTTGAAATCCTGTTTTCGTGGGTTTTATGAGCTGGAAGCCCAAATTATGTCAAAATAAACAAATAAATACTTGAAATTGTTTAAATTGTGGGACCTGAATCTATCATGCAGCACGGTGGCGCAACTGGTAGAGCTGCTGCCTCTCAGCGAGCAGGTCCCTGGTTCAAACCCCGGTCCAGGGGCCTTTCTGGGTGGAGTTTGCATGTTCTCTCTGTGCATGCGTGGGTTTTCTCCGGGTACTCCGGTTTCCTCCCACAGTCCAAAAACATGCATGTTAGGCTGATTGGTAACTCTAAATTGTCCCTAGGTGTGAGTGAGAGAGTGAACGGTTGTTTGTCTCGTTTGTTTCTATGTGTCCCTGTGATGGACTTGCGACCCGTCCAGGGTGTACCCCGCCCCTCGCACAGTGATTGCTGGACATGGGCACCAGCGACCCCCGTGACCCAAAATGGAATAAGCGGGTAAAGAAAATGGATGGATGGATGGATGAATCTATCATCTATTAAAGATGAACTTTTTGAATGGAATTATGGAAGTTAAACAACTTTTCCACAATATTCAAATTTTTTGGAAAGGGTTTATGTATGTGTGTGTGTGTGTGTGTGTTTATGTGCGTATGTATGTATGTATGTATGTATGTATGTATGTATGTATGTATGATGGGTCATGTATGTATGTATGTATGACGGGTCATGTACGTATGTATGACGGGTCATGTATGTATGTTTGTATGACGGGTCATGTATGTATGTATGTTTGTATGACGGGTCATGTATGTATGTGTGTATGACGGGTCATGTATGTACGTATGTATGATGGGTCATGTATGTACGTATGTATGACGGGTCATGTATGTATGT